ATTACCAAGCGTGCTATAAAGCCTTGAAGCAGATGCACACGTACTGGGGAGGTGTCCGATATATCCTCACTGCCCTGGACCAGAAGTTGGACGGCCAATGGGATTGCGAGACATACACAATCGAAGAATACGAGAGTGCCAGGCGGTACCGCCAGTCCTGCGTTCTCAGTAGGTTTGCAAAACAAATAGACTATCCCGCGTCGCCAATTCCCGATAACGGACCTCCACTGGCATGGTCATTGACGGGTACGACAAACTCTCCTAACTCGAGCTTGACACTTCTATTCCAGAACCCAGTCAATCCCAGTGGCATCATGCCCTCGCAGGCCATCTCGCCGACCGCCCCTACATCCGCTGCGCCAACCTCTGCACCTACGCCACCTGGAAACATGATTTACGACCCTATACGTCAGAGCCTCCCCGAGACTACCACGTCTATTTACCATCCCGCTTATCCCCAGCCGAACACGTCAGCCTTGCGGCACTCGATTAGCCACCCTCGCCGAGTTTCGGGCGGTACATCGGCTCAAAACAAGTCCTCGTATCTGAGATACGAGAGCCTATCTGGTCAAGATGATCCTGGCAAGGTCTCCATGAGCATTCCGCCGACGTTGTATACGCCATCGTCGCAGCAGTCGACGAGCTACGATCAATCGGGAACCAGCAGTTATCCTACCAACGACTCGCCAGCTAGTAGCACGCCGAGCCATAATAATATTGGAGGACAGTCCTCGAACGCATCGGAAGGTGGGCCGTCCAACTTCGCGCAGAGCGGTAGCGGGCTCGCGTCCAGCGGGTACTCGTACCTAGGGCCTGGCGGGGCATCGAACCTACACCTACTAACCTACGACAATGAGACGGATATCGGGCAGCATCTAACGAGTTTCGAGAGCACCGAGATGCTCAGCTGGTTCGGTGACTACTTCCCGGGTGATAGCACATGGCTATTTCCGGGAGACTCGACGATGCCATGACGGTTCTAATTGTGACTACATGCAGCAAGCTGGCGCTGCAGATGCTATACGTTAGGAAGACGGGGGAAGGCTGTGGAGTTCGGAGATGGGATGGGTGCAGAGGGCTTACATTTATATGCCTGATGCATGTCTAACCCCATTCATCCTCTCCCTATCAATTACCTATTTACCTGTCCACATAATTCCTCGCACTTTTTTGTGTTCTGCTATCATAGGTACGTTATCTTTATATAAGCCTTGTGGAAGATATTGTAACGGGAGACGGGAGATGTGGGATCGGGCCCGTTGTTTATTTCGGGATGCAAAAGCGAACTTTTAGATACCACGGCCCTTTTCCTATTTTTATTCACTACTTAGACCATTTTTACTCCCGTCATGGGTATTTATTTCTCAGGTACTTTCATCTGGTGGACCCGAGCTCGCAATTTGAGGGTACATATATACTGCAGAAGGAAAGGAGGCTTCTAGGCCATGAGAGGCCATGAAATTGTGTTCGGCCGGATGGGGCGGATTGGCTTGTCGGATACTATTGGGTGTACATATAGCCATGGCTGGGAGTACAATATGATCAAATGGGATGTCCTCAGGAAAGGTAAAGGGTATATGAGAACGAGGTGGAATTATGACATAAGAACACGAGACTCAAAAGACAGTCCGTCTCGAACGCAAAAATAGGAAATCTTATAAGCTCTTATAACTCCACGAGGTAACGTGTACATGATGACGATCTATGAGATATGTAATTGTATATAAAATCTATGAAATATATTCCTCGTATATACGAGCTACCGATTTTTAATTCCGTATTATATGCTTTCACACCGCAGATACGCATCTTATCTCGGGCTATCTCGGACATGTGAACGTTGGCAGAACCGAGAAGGCGGCTGTTCGAAGCAAGGGATAGACGAAGATGCTTCTCAGCCGCATGGGGAATGATCCACCGCTTTGCATCGACTACCCCTGACTAGATGACATCAACAAATGGCGGATAGACTGTTGGCTTTGACATAATGGCGCAGCAGTAGAAGGAGGCAGACTTTGTCTATCAAATGGCCATAGATGACAGGCGATCGTACCCTTTTCTCTTCTTTGATTTAATAACATAGTATACAAAATGATTTAATAACATAGTATACAAAATACTCGTTTACAGAGTTAACAGTATCACGAGAATATTAATAAAAACAACACGCATATCGCATTTAAATAAGCATAAGGCGTATTTATTAAGTCCTTGCAAATACAAAGAGAATAAAATGGAACCATCTAAGACCCCTGGCCAGAACAACGCTGCGAGCGAGACCTTCAAGAAAAAGCAAGCTCAGGGTATGTTCTGATTCATTTGATAGATGGCGTATTCGATGGTTTAGCCAAGCTTTGTTCTAGGATATGTTGTATAGCTATGATGGGATGCGATGTAGACTAGGTGAAGTATATAAGGGGTTAAAAGGAGGAAAGACACGAGAAGAGAAGAGTGAAAAGGTGACATGATGGTAAACCACGATCCTGTATCTGTGCAATACAAGGCATTATAAGTTACCGTGGTGATTTAACGAAGAATGCTAATACTACTGCAGATGTAGATAATGAGCACCTAGTTCTTCACATGGGCCTCACAGTTTGCAGTACTCGTCAAGTTCACTAGAGTTGAACCTTGAATTCCCCTTCAGAGCCCTATCAATATCCATTGATCATCTCTTGTCAAAAGAAGCCGTGCTTCGCGCGCCCGACTATACATATTCTCATATGTCTGCATATATTATATCTTAGGCCAGACGGTCTCTTTGCATTGTCCCTGTCTCTCCACCCAAGCGCGAATCCGTTCGATATTCCAGCCGCTAACCCACTTTTCTTCCTCGTTATTCACCTTCGGGGCTGGCTTGCCAAGTCGGAAGGATTTGTTGTACGCGCAGGCTCCTGCGCGGTATGAGAACTGGAAGCAGTCATGGTTGCTGTCGCATAGCTTACGGCAGTGCTCGAACGACTTGTGCGCATCTAACTCGACAGCCGCGGCACGGATCTGCTGGTGCGGCTTCTTAGCGCTATCCCGCTGCCACTTCGGATAGCGCTCGCTGTGCTCCAGGTCCAGGTATAACACATCGTCGCTCAAGTTATCCCAGTCGTCGCGTCTGGCCATGAGCTTTGGCGCGACGAACTCGTGGTAGACGTCCTTGAACCGGATGATAGGACGAGGCACGCCTCGGGACTGGTAGAATCGCTGCTCGAAATCCTAGAACGAGGAGATCTCTTCCGAGTCCATATGGTGCATAGTTACGAGAGGATGGCACCATTGGCGGGGTCCGTAAGGGATAGTATACGGCTTCTCACCGTTTATCGTTGGCCACTACTGTTGTGTTAGGTAACATTTTGTGGTTTGTCAAAGTAGGTATTAGATAGTTTAGGGGTTCTTACAGCTTGCTTGACTCCAATGCCGAGTGTTTCGTTCAAGGCGAGACTCAACACATAATCACCGCAGCACGATACTCTAGCCTTCGTATCGTACTGATTAGCGATGCCGGGGTGACCTCTGGCAAGATCTCCCATCGTTGCTTGTGATAGGAAGTATCCGCTACCACCATGTGCGAAGGCGAAACCGTCCAAAAGTGCTATGCTACCAATATACTGCTTCTTGGAAGGATCTCCGAGCCTTCGTAACCACTGGACGAGGTTATGCCAGAGCACATACGTATCGGCATCGATGAACAGGTACCAATCATAATTAGGGCGTAAGTGATAGGTCTTTTCAGCAATATGGATATTCTTGTATTTATCTAGCCTCCACGCCTCGAACTTCAGGTTTCGTTCACTGTTCAAATTACAGCTCTGCTGGTCGATAGCACAGGCCTTCTGCCTGTGGTAAAGGTCGAAGTCGTAGTTCCTCTGTTTGGCTTGATCGAGTACAGAGTCTAAACTGTCACGAACGTGATACCCAGCGATATTCTGCTCCATGTCAGAGAAGATCAGGAAGTCTGGAAGACATCTCAATATGGTAATGAGTTGCGTAGGGATCTTGGAGTATGACTCGGTGGCGCCAGTCTTGACAACGACGAGGATATCAGACGTGTTGGGAAAGTATTTGCATGATGGCTCGTAAGGTCTCAAGAGAGGCGACGTCGTCAAGCCGGTGGACTTAGTAGTGCCAACAGAACTAGACAAATTGGTACGGTTTGGATTGTAGTTAAGTGGAAAAGATGACATTCCGAGGGAGGAACTGTGAAGCGACCACTTGGTGAGGCGCGTCGAGGTGATCAAGATAGCGATTAGGCACACGATGGCCAGAACGAACCTTCGATAATGCCGTAAGATTGTCATATTGACCGATATGAGTTTATGCAAATTCTACTCTCATTATTTTATTAAAAGGTCAATGATTGGGATGAATGAAATACTGGATGTGCTTCAACTTAAGGGGTAGATCCAGCGAGGAAATGAGAAGACATCTATCTTATGTAGATACCTAGGCAGCGACTAGAAGCAAACAGATACTCAAATACACTAGTGGCTTCTGTATTTTGTCAATTTTAGTACATTTTAATTAATTTCGATACCTACCTATGTGTAAGATGCTCTTGCTCGTGGAATATTTCCATCTCTTATATAAAAGGTACGTACTACCTATGTAGTTAGGTGTTGTACATTGTACAAAGGTACATACCTACATGTACCTACCTACATACCTATGTACTATGTATGTATGTATGTACATTCATTTAGTTGCCCCAGCTAAAATACAGTGCATGCACGGTAATTAGAACATGTCACATCTGGGGTAAAAGGAGGGGACAGTTGGGGTAATACGCGCTACTGCAATCAATGTTGCAATACTTCGTACCTCTACCTCGGCTCCTTAGCGCTTAAGAAATACAAATACGTCAAACTCGGCTCCAAAAGCTTCGAGCGAGAATGGCCAAGCGGGCAAAGCATCTCAACGCTGGAAGAAGATGCTAATATTGCACCTATGCTCAATTCCCTCGTTGCGAGCCAGATTATTTCGTTGCCAGTCCTTAAGCACCTAGGTTAACCATGTCCGACACTGCGAAACAAAGGATCCAGGCCCTGGGAAACCATATCTCTACCTCCTCCTCCCCCGATGCACTCCCGGCAATTAAAAAACTCGCCGGCAAATCTTTAGGCCCCCGTGCCAAAGGAAAAGTCGTCATAATTACGGGAACAAACTCGGTGCTAGGAATTGGCCGTGCGAGCGCTCACCAGTTCGCCGAGAATGGCGCCAAAGCCGTGTATATCTGCGACTTCGACGACAAGTACCTAGCGGCTCACAAGCGTGAGATCGAGACTTTATACCCTGGTGTCGACGTCCACGCACGCAAGTTTGACGCCGCAGACGAGGCGGCTGTTCAAGAAGTCGTAGATCATGCGTTGAAGACGTACGGCAGGCTGGACGTATTCTTCGCGAACGCGGGCGTTGTTGGTCGCCTTGCGCTGTTCTCGGATGTTAGCAAGGACGAATTCATGCGCGTCTTGGATACCAACGTGGCTAGGTTTGTCAACTCTACTATATCAAAGAATGAGCTATATGAGTGCATATGAGAGATGGATACGTGCTCACATTCGTAAACTCGCAGCGTATTCCTCGCCGCCAAGTACGCCGCGCCCGCCATGCAGAAGACCTCGCCCTCGAAGCCTGCGCCGTCGGGAAGTATCATCGGCACGGCATCAGTGGCCGGACTGCGGTCTAATGCGGGCACAACGCCATACTCGGCGTCCAAGGCGGCTGTGATCTCGCTAGCCCAGACCATCGCCTACCAATTAGCTGGTACGGGTATTCGCATCAACGCTATCTGTCCCGGGCTTATCGAGACGGGGATGACGAGCCCGGTATTCGAGGCCGCGCGAGCTCGTGGCACCGAAAAGAAGATCGGTCAGCTGAACCCGCTGAAACGAAGCGGCACCGCCGACGAGATCGCCCGCGTCGCTCTCTTCCTCGGTAGTGATGAGTCTAGCTACGTAAACGGCCAAGCGTGGGCTGTCGATGGTGGAATTAGTGCCGGACATCCATATGTGCCTGGAAAATTGGCTTGATAAATAAGTACCTAACCTAAATGTATCTTATGTAGGTAGTCATTTACATGTTCAGAGGGCTACTTTATTTGCATATATGGTCGGATATATTTCCTATAGGAATTTCGAGGCTGAAAGGATAGGTATTTACCTAACCTAGGATATAGTAAAAACAACAGAAAGTCGACCAAAAAAAATATCCCTGTTCTAACAGCGTGCTGGTTATAGAAGAGTGCCATACCATGCTATGTCACCCCGTCCGCACCAGTTCAAGCTTACCATCCCAGTGCTCCTCCGTGCCCTTCGTTCGGATACGGTACTCTTTTATAGCCCCTGCTACGTCTCTAAACACGATAGAACTCTTTACTGCTTCTCGGATGGCGCTGCTCTTGGGTATTATCATAGCCTCCCACGCTGCGTAGAAGATGTAAGTCATTGGCGGCACCCCAGCAGCAATATGGTTCGGCGTCGCGGGCCCGATGTCCGTGCGGAGGTTTGGGTCTTGCACGTTCCACATGTACTCGTTGACGGCGGCGTGCGGGCCGATATGTCCTGGTCCGATCCAAACGGGGACCGAGTAGAAGTTACCGCTCCATGAATCGGCCGCGTCAACATGACAAGTCATGTATTCAGAGCTGACTTCAGAGTAAGGGGGTGACTTTAATCGCCCTGAAGTCCATCGTGGGTAGTTATCTGCACTGGAGGGTACTTTGCATGGCTTCACTTGTGCTTTCTTCGGTGTACTTCTTGATGTAATCCCGAACGACACGTCGTCGTCAAAGTAGCTTGATGTACTTTCTTGACTAAAGTTTTCTTCGGCGGGATCGAGAAGTTTATCGAAGTCTACATCACTGCTTGTTGATATGACGCTATTGTTGTCTGAGAAGCTGGGTTCCAGCTCAAGTCGTATATGTCGGAGTCCTTTTAGAACTGACGAGCCACGGCCGGAGAATAAAGTCTCGGCGTGTCTGATGGCCTTCTGTTGCACACATGCGAGATCCAGAAACCGAATCAGTTGTTCAATTACTGGGCCTGTGGAATGTGCCGGGATATTGGTGAGCGTTAGAGAGGTAATACGAGGGTTTGTATCAGGAGCTAGGGCCAGAGGATAGGCGCGACGGATACTTTTAAATAACTGGCCTTCTGCGAGGCGTGCTGCAGATTTAGATAGAAGACCTTCCATGGAAATTGACAGGACTTGAGTTACGAGAGAATGATGAACTCGCAGAGACCGGATTGCTGAGGAAACAACCGGTCGAAATAGGGGCGTCGAGCCTAGGAAGCCTAGAAGTCTCGCGCTCTTCAGGTTTTGGCCAGTCTGAGGACTGGTTGGTGTGCAAAGACACGAGTCACATTCTAAATGCTCAAGTCGCCCTCGAGATGTTCTTATAAGTCGCTCAATACCAGGGACCGTAAACTTGTTCCCGTTCAAATATAGATGTGTGAGGCCAGAGCCCCTGGAATCTAAGCTGTCGGGTGTAGCCGATAAAGATTCGCTAAGCAGAAATCGCTTTGCCGTATTCACATCATCGTGTCTTAGCGGTGCAAGGCCGTCGGGTCGAATGGCCTGCCATTCCTGTACCTCTGTCTGATCCGCTCTTTGAGAATAAAAAGGAGAATCTGAAAGATATCTTTCCAAGTCCCGCTCGTGTTTACTTCTCTCGGACTCTTCAAAGAATTCAAAAGGTCCATATTTTCGACTGCCGATCTCCTTGGGGAGGATCAATCTCCCCTCGATATCAAAGCGTGCGTCCGTATGAAATGTAGAAGGAGAGATACAATGCTCTACAAGCTCATCGATTATTCCATCCCCGAGCTTGTTGTTGCTTAAATCGAGACTCCATAATTGACTACGAAATGTTCGAAATAGCAAGCTGGCGGCCGGATTATCCATTTCTCTACCTGCGACTCTTAATACACGGAGTTCTGGAAGCGTATCAGGGTTTAGAGATGACAAGACTGCCGTCTTAACAGAACCTGGGATAAAGGATAGGTCCAAATAGACCAAGCTCCCGAATAGGTTGGAGCTAAAGAATTTAGGCGTAAGCTCATAAGGGCAGCGAGCCAGGTCGAGCAGCTGTAAAGACTGTGACGATGTGCGTGTAGCGGTAGCTAAAGACTCGGGATTAAGCTCCGGGTGCCCATCCACGAAGAGGCATATAAGACCTGGAAACAGCTGGGGCAGATACTTGAAACTTTCTGAGATGGCTCGTTCGCTGGCTTCTGAGGAATAGAGCCCGGATGCACGTAGTGCAAAGTTCCGAAAGTCCAATGAACGAACGTAATGCCGAGTTTCGAGCCTAGCAGCTTTGACATGTCTATTGATGAAACGGCGATACCACGCCAAGTCTAAAACATCGGTATTAGTATAACAGATACAAGCCATATGTAGTAGTAGTAGTAGTAGTAGTAGTAGTAGTAGTAGTAGTAGTATTAGGTCACCCTGAAGAAAACAGAGAAAACCCCAGACTCACCGTCATTCGGATGTAGCCCAAGGCATCTTATAGTCACCAGAGGATCTTGCCAGAGACGGGGCGCAAACTGGCCATAAAATCGGCTGTCTACCAAGCAACATCGAGGCCAATCTTTCACCGGGATATATGATGCGACCAAATCTAACAAGTCCGGAGCGGTGGTTGCGCGTTCGTATGACGGAAGAGTCTCCATGACGAGAAATGAAGCATGGACAAATAAGACATGGCAACAAAAAAACAAAGCAAAAAAAAAAAGAAAAAAAAAAAGGGGGGGGGGGGGTTAGGATTGGATTTATAGATTATAGATATGATCTAGGTTATGATCTTTAATAAAGTATAATATGCCTAGGATTGAGAACAGACAAGTTATAATGTGGCGGATAGTTGTAGTTTGCCATTCAACAGATTCCATGGTCATTCAACCTCCGGCTTGCACCGCCACAACACCACCAAGTTGGTAGACATTATGTTGCAACGGGTACACTCATCATCCGAAGTATAGTATCACGCCGAAGATATCAGGAATTTATTTATTAGCTCCAAATAAAAAGGTTATGGATATCATAGCTGCTTAAGGAGCAGCAAATGCACAAATTTCTCTTGGTCTACGCTATCGACGAGTAAAGGTACCTAATATAGAAACTAGGCCTGCGTAACAGATTGGAAGTGGACTAAGTATTCATCCTACTTACGGCTGGCCTATATGACGAACTTATACCCCCTCGTGTAAGCCAGATACGGCACTGTCAATCTCCCCAATATCACCACCCCAGTATCAAGAGTCAGTTATCATTGGACACTTCAACTCTTTCCCGCGTCCTCCTTTAGTGCCACAATTCTATTGAGAATGATACGGTCGTCGGTCGAGTCAGAATCCATCGCGAAGTATGCGATGCGCATCGCTTGGAAACGGACGCTCTCGGGTCCTCCCTTGCCAAGCTCGCTTTCACCTGCTGCTTCTGGCCATGGCGCCCTCCTCCTAACTTCATCGAACCCAGACTCGACTAACGCGTTGGGGTAGATTACCTCGCTATCCGGGTTGATATCGTTTAAGAATCCCCCTGGTGCCTCATTGGGGTTGTCGGACTTGAACAGCGAGTTGTAGATTCTGACTTCCGCTTTTCGAGTACCAGCCGCCTCGGTTGGAACCCATTGGATATACGCCTTTGGCTTCTTCGTCTCCTTGTCAAATACTGCCCGAATCTCGTTAACTTTTCCCGTTGCGTCGTCTTTGGTGAACGACACTGCCTTTATCGGATGCGGCACTTGAAGAAGCCCGACAGTCTAGATCTTGAGTTAGTATTGATACACTTCTACGGAGACTTGGAATAGCTTCTCACCTTTCCGGGAGCAAGGCGGAAGAATGATGGATCGGCGTCCTCTCTGAAATCTGAGCGGTCGATGTAAATAGTTTTGCTAAATGTGACATCGTGGGAGCCCATCTTAGGGTCTTTCGGACTGAATGGAAACGCAAGACCCTTCCCGTCGAGATGGTCGGCATCTTCGATGACTACAGGGATGGGATCTAAAATAAGCATCAACCGCGGCACCGTTCTTTCAAGGTACTTCCTGATAGCTTGGTCGAAACGCTTGATTTCGATGATGGAGTTTGCAGTTGTCACGCCAAGCTCATTGACAAATTCTAGAATAGCACCAGGTGGAACGCCTCTACGCTTGATACCAATTAACGTATAGAGACGGGGATCATTCCACCCTCGTACAATCTTCTCTGCTACGAGCTTTAGGATTTTGCGCTTCGAGAGGATCGTACCAGAAATCGACAGTCTGCCGTATTCTCTATGGATGTGTTAGTAGGTTTCCCAAGACAGAAAAACGCTTGAACCAAAAAAGGTCCCCTGAATAAGACTCACCTTTGCATCGGTTCGTATACTCCAAGAGTCTTATTTAGCCATTCGTAGCTGACTCGGCTTTGGACTTAATTCATAATTGTTAGTAGCCGGTAATTCAGTATGTTAAGAAGCACGAAGGAGATAGCTGGGACCTTCATGTTCGTCGCACGCGAGATTACTTACCAAATTCTGTCGTGCATAGAGAATGGGTCTAGGTAATATGTAAGCAAGTGAAATCGGCCAATGATGCCTACATGTGGATACTCACGATGCCTTCAAATGAATCGCACAGACAGTGTGTAAAGTCGTAAGTTGGGTAGATCTTCCAGGCATTTCCTGTGCGATAATGCGGTTTCTTCAAGCCGAGTGTCAGTAATCGTGACCAACTACTTGTATGAGATTAGGTCGTGGATTGGGGATCTGTGGTATTCCTAAAAACGCTCTTGAATCGCTGGCCATTGGGAAGATGAAACTTACATCAAGGACTCGGTAAGCTGCTAGGTCCCACATTTGCGGGTTGCCGTCTGCGATGCTGTAGCGTGTCAGCTACCATACGTATCGGTACTATGCGCTTAATGATTATCTCACTCTGGAAAGACGTCAGTGTAATCTAAGACCTATATTCTTCGTAACTAGTAGGCAAACCTTGCTTCATCCTAAGGAAGGCCTCCTGAGGCTTGTACTGTCCGTCTCTCATGTCTCTAAACTTCTTTAGATTCTCCTCGACGGGTTGCTCGGCATGCTCGCAACGGTAACGCGGACCAGCAGTTCCCTTTTCGCCGCCACGTTGGAGTTTAATCTCGGTATCATTACACTGGCAGACATAGGCTTTTTCAAGACTTATTAGCTTCTCGGCGAGGTCGTAAAGCTTCTGGAAGTTGTCGGACGAGTAAGTAATCTTGTAGGGCTTGAAGCCGAGCCATTCTACCATCTCGAGAATAGCATCGAAGTAAACCTGCTCCTCGGCCTCTGGATTGGTGTCGTCGTAACTATCGATCGATCGGGGTAAGCGATGGAGCAACATTCCTCAATTTCGACGTGTTTGCTCGCTTACCGAAGATAACACTCGCCTCCGTGGTATCTAGCAAAGCCAAAGTTCACTGCGATGGCCTTTGCGTGTCCTATATGGAGAAACCCGTTCGGCTCGGGAGGGAAACGGGTGAAAACAGGTTTCATAGGTCTAATCTTAAAGACCTCGTCAAGAAACCCGGTCTTGAACATATTATTGGGATCGATTGCTGGTTCTTCTGCGGTAGCTTTGGGCTTCGGTGCTGGCTTAACTTTCTCCTCGCTCTTCACCTCGCTTCTTGCGGCTTCCTTGGCCTTTGCCTTTTCGCGCTTTTTTAATCGTTTCTTCAATTCTGCCTTGGAGATCATCTCCCCCGTCTCCTCGTCGAGCTGCAGCTTAGCAGTGCTTTCTGCTAGGTCCGCCATGGTTTCAACTACTTGATCCTCGCGGCGATGATTTCGATAATGCAACTGTGGGCCTGTGTTAAGTTTAGTTTAGGTAGACTTCAAATTCTTGATCGATCAGCTTCAAGAGTCATTCTGCCCCTCGTTTAAAAGGGTTAAAAAGTACCTCCTTATGAGTCGACGAGGTGAAGCAAATAATATCGATAAGATAAGCCCCTCTTAAGTGGGTATCTTAGGTACTGATAGGTACTTGCCTTAGGTACCTGTTAGTTGATCTAAGTACATGTACGGATCTGTATTGAATTAAGAGTGGCTTGCTCTGATTGGCGGATAACATGGACGATGGACCTTTTCGGCAGGTATCTCTACAAGTTTATCTTCTATCCGTTGCTCGGATTTGCAGACATAAAGATTTCAACTTCGAATTCATAGTCATTTGTCAATATTCAGATAAGATGAGATTAAGAATCACAAGAAGGACTGAAAGAGGGAGACTGATGTAAAGACTCGAGTTCGAATTTTCCTTGTAGCTAAGTTAAGAAAACAATAGTTAATCCTAATTACTATGGAATAAATAGGTGGCTAAGAGAGCCTCCTTTCCTCCTATTATACCTGCTTAAGTACCTAACCTAACTATATACCCTTATTACAACACATTAGCTATAACAATGATTTGATTTTTACGGTATACTAAAAACAAAAACGGCGTAAATACTACAATGTTACCTAGATTAACGATATTATTGCAGTCTATAAGACTATAACATTGGGGGCAACTAATTCAATTTTTATTCAATTCGATTCCGAGGCGTGGTTTTCTCTTATATTCTACTAGTTAGCAACCTTGATAGAAACTATACCTAATATAGTTGCGGGTCTCGATCTCCTGAAACTAGCATCGAGTATGTTGGCAAGTTGATATTAAGCTGTCGCGAAACACCTCTATCCGCATGAGTACCTAGATATCTTAAGTATATCAGACTTCGTCAGGGCTAAGATAACGATAGGCTTTAATGGAGAATTCACTTGAGTTTATGTAGGTACCGCTAGTTCTGTCTCACTAGAAGACATCTCGAATGAGGTGACATACTTGGCGTCTCACTTTATCTAAGACTTTCAGTCAGTCGATCAATGTTTTCTCCGCGGAATATATTCGAATAAGAATCGGAAGGCAATCACATTTATGCGTAAAGTATAGACAACCATAAATCATTGCAGTTTCATACTACTGGTATTAAGACTTTGCCCAAGATTACAAGTTTATTGTTTATTAAAATATTGGCAGGCAACTCCCTTCATTCACATCGTTACTCGGTATAGACTTGATCAAAATAGGGACTTATGTACCCCTTGAAACTGTTGCTCTTCCTATATAACTAGCTTAGGGGCGGCGTTATGCATTTAATCCAAGTCGTAATGTCAGATTATCATAGGAAATTCCTTAACGGTTTAGTAAATCTTATCAACAATTCCGGGAGGCATTAGGGATGAATAAGTCTAGCATGTCTTTCATTCTAGTTGACTATATCTAATGCAGTCTGTGACCTTGAATTATCTACTTACCTGCGCACTTGTAGGCACGCAAGTTATCAGTCCAAGTTCTGCCTAGTTACAACCCATCTATGTATTGACTATAAAGTCCTAGATATATTTCTGCCAAATATACATGGTTCCCCAGTCAGCGTGATATTGCTCTTTGGATTGATAGACTAGAATTCGGAATTAATTTATTATGTGACACATATTCTTGAGACCCTCCAACGTCCATAGTGCTAGAATCCGAGACCTCCTGGGGGACGCGTTTTAGTACGACGTGCCACAATAATATACACGATGTGGATTATGTCATTGTTTTTGATGATGCGCATGTCCTCACCGTTAAAGCTAAGTTGTTTTTTAATTCATATCCCGAGTCTCGGCCCGTCGAGGCGTGACCTCTGATGGTAATGGAATGGAATAGGTAGCGTATAGCCTGCGTATTCTTAACAAAGGTATGTGGTGACTTCATGATTCTAGATGAGTATAATTCCTACGCGTCCTATGTTTTGTATTACTATGGTACGCGATGTAGCCTTGTATTAGGTGAGATTTAATGCTGCCACTCTTGTGGCCATGACACAGCTGGGTAGACGCAAGTCATTATCAATGTTATTGCTAAATTTATGGTACTTGTCGTGATACCCCAGCGGCAAGCTAATCAAAGTCGTTTCTTGCACCTCCTTTTCTACTAGGAATATCATTTCTAAGATTCCCATGTGCAACACCTATCATGTGGAGACGTTAACCTGCATCTATATGTAACTTCAAGCGCTACGGTGTTATAACTATCAATTTATCATTTGTTCGGATGATAAAACTGTGCTAATAGGATAATCATATCTCATCCTACCACTCCACCCGGGCCCAGTTAACAACTTACGTAGTTTTTCGTAGCAAATCCCGGCGATGTACCAACGCCAATATCCAGCATAATGTGCGCAACGACATTTATCTCCTTAGCGCCATAACCCGTGGGGTACCTTATGTCTAAGGCATATCCTCGATGTTTCAGAGAAAGCAATATGGGTCCGGGGATATTCGGTAGTGGATGGTGGCACATACTTACTCCCGTCTTTATCCTCGCTATCCATCTATATGTACATTGGTAATAGCACTTGGGCTGGGCTGATTTGTGTAGCGTAGTTGTCAGGTCCCGATTTTGGTTGTAGTGACGGTCATAATACATGAATTGCATGTGTCAACTATAAAGATTAGTTGGATAATTGAACACTAAGAGTTACGTAGCTTGTGAGTCAGTTGTACTACAGTAGTTAGCCACCATACAGTCCTTTGGTAATAGCTAAATAAGAGAGGAACCAAGACCAAGATTGCCTAGGAATACGAGAAACGGAATGCTTCCAATCCGAATAATAGTACTGACAAATGGGCCGAGTGATAGATATGAATAGAAGTGACCGCAATTCCAAACAATCTGATGGTAACGTATCCTCGGTTCCGAACTAATCTGCGTATGGAAAAGTTTGCTAACGGAGAGGGGTGTTGTTGGGCAGCGGAGCATTGACGTTGTACACTACATGTAGTCATCGTACTTCCATCTTAGTACCTTCATAGCCAAGGCCGTACGTACTCGGTGTTTGGATCTTCGATTAACCTGTTGCTCGGAGGCTAGACGTTTTACGAAGAGACGTACAGTGGCTGTATTGTCCAGATATGAAAGACTAAGCAAGAATAACAAGCCTATAATTTTAGCAAAGTCCGCAATTAGCTAGAAGCTGCGTCTACACGTAATCCATAGCGGTGATGAAACTGATCTTTATTTTTATCTGTTGGGGTCTTTGAACAGAAGCCGTTGGTGGCCGTTTCGTGTTTTTTCGACGTACCTATGGTATCTAGGAATCTGATAATCTTAGAATATTAGAGCCTTATGGAGTTACTAATGCTGTGGTCGAACCAGAGGTCCGGGTCAAGCTCCAACTCACCCACTGCCTCGTTCCAACTTATCTGAGAATCACCTCTCGAGGATAAAGCACAGCCAAGTATGGGCATATGGTTGGCTGCATCGTAGATGCCCAAACATTTACCTTCATTATTACCCATCTAGCTGGGTAAGCTACTGCAGAGCAACGTGGTCCTGATTAGTACCTCAATATCACTTCCATCCAAGGGTGGGCCCATGTACGCTCCAAAAACCAAAATGGCCAGCTATGTACGCACAGTACTTGGTCCCCTTTCTTTTGTCCCGTGGTCCTCCTAGCGCATCGTTCTGCTGCGAGGCTGTAATCTCAAAAGGGTAAATAAGTCCCTGCTTTCACTCGGAGTGATCCTCATAAGATCGGCCCGTGGCTGACATGTTCCGCTCACCCTCCTCGCGGAGAAGCTCATCTCCGGTGTTTTACCTGGGAAGACACCAGTGCTAGCCATATTTCCATCTATACATAACTGTTGAAGAGCAGGCAGTTCTTCATCAGCTTTTTATTGATTCAATACAGCCTGAGTCGTTTATGTCAGTATGCCCGACTGACGTGACGTGCATGGACACTTTTTGACGCCTCATCTGGAGAATGTAACAAGTCGGCGATCGCTGAAGTGGACTGATGCAGACGCATGTTGGTCGGTGTCTGGCAGCAGGGTCTGGTCTGGTACTACCCTCGACTTTAAATATATCCCATACCATGCAGTTGGTAGTGGCAAAGTGTTCCCTCATGCCCCCCCGTGGCCAATCGTATAGTTGGTCAATCACTACGTGACTAGTTTCTCATGCGCATCATAGGCATGTAGTTACTTCGCATAATCGATTCAGATTGAGCCTGTGTTTACCCTCCCTAGATGTCTGGTATGGAAGTCCTATCAAGTATGCTAGCATGTTATTTACATAGCAATGAGAATAGAAGATTATATGTATTAGGAGGTAGATATTAGTGATATTAGGGAATTCGAAATTGGATGATATTACACCCGAGGCATTGTTCATCTTGAAAAGTACCTAATCATATCGATTTAATTGAACAGTTATTGGCAATTCGGAGCTTATTCCGAGCATCGCCGTTATATGTCTCGGCCATATTCAGACACGCGCATCTACGCTCTTCAAGGTGAAACATACCTATTTACTGGTGTACTTGTCATATTAATCTTTTGCAGGGGTAAGAAGTTCAATTTTGTACAAGCATGTCTGCTAGAAATATTTTCTTCGAGAAACTCGATTTCTAGTACCTATGACCTGCAAGTCGGAAGATGAGAGAGCAGAGAGACAATAACCCAAGCTCCAAATGAAATGGATATACTATGCTAGCTTTTTTCCCGGAAATTTGTCCTAGGGAGTGACAAAAACCAATAGTGTACAAAGTTATAACGAGTAAAGAAAATACTGCAAATCCGTGGTGTCGTATTCTAATGAATACAAACAAACAAAAAGACAATGTCAAGCCCCAAGGACGGTTTCCTAAAAGCTCTGTCTTCTCTTAACGCCCCAGATGATGCAGAACAATATGAGAAATATTAAACACCACACGTTGACGCCGTACTCCTTTTCCGGGCTAAACAATCAGCCTTGCGTTTGACCTGAAAGCCTGCTCACCAATTTGCTGCCGTGTTGCCAAAGAATTCCATATTGTATATGTATATTAGTAACTAAATGCATATTCGTGGGTATCACTTTCCAAGTTTAATAATCCTCATTTTTTAATACGCCGGTCTTTTTCTTTAGCTGGCTTCGTTGCTTGGTCTTGCTTATCTCCTCATCTAGCAGAGCCTGAGCCTCAGGGAAGTATTCGGTGCGGCGGGTTGGGCTTTTTCTGCGGGTGTGAAGTCTGAGGTGTTGCCTATAGTTGTCCCTGCGATTGAACGGCTTGTCACAGAACGGACAGTATATTGTAATAGCCTGGATGTCATCGGCATGTTTACTAGTTGGCTTGTTAGCTATATATTCCTGGTTTGCGAATGGGTAGAACTAGTTTCTTACGTGTTCTTGTGTCTCTTCAGATGTTCTTGTCTCTTGAAGGGTCCTTTCGGGCAGTTCGGATAGTTACACTTAAAAGTGGCGGCTGCGATTCTTTCTATTCTGACGCCATGTCGGTCTTGCGCTTTTTGTAGTGCTGAAGTCTTTTGCTGCACCTTGTCCACGCTAACTCTCCTTTTCCCATGGCTGGCAAGGTACGACGGCGTCAAGGCGTTTCGTTCTCGTGCGGAAAGAGGCTGGGAAGGCGAAGGAGACGCCGAGGGATGTTCTCTTGCAAAAAAAGATACGGGACTGTGCCCGGTCCATGCCCACATTGACGAGGCATCGCATGCGGAATTGTCCAAGTGGTAGGCGTTCGTGGATACGGGAAATTGCGGTGGTGTCGCATATTCTCCAAAAGAGTAGTGCCCCATAGACTGAGAACTGTGGTGTTCAAGGCCATGCTCTTGAACCGATAGCGAGGGGTACGAGGCAGAGAGACTCGAGGCGTAGTCAAAATCTATAGACTGCGACTGCATACTGGACTTTCGACTAGGACTTGGCGAGGCATTGCTATACTCCATATATCGATGGATGTCTGCTTTGGCGCCTGGTGGGAAATAACCGCCAAAAGCAGATGACGGCGGAGTTAAATCATATCCAGTAGGAGTTGGATAAGCAACAGCATCATGGTCCATCGAGAGAGAGCGAATTCCAGGAGTTGATCGACCTGAAGTTGGCGTGAACGGTTCGGGCAGAGAACTCGAAGTTGATGCTGAAGAGAAACTACCGGTCGACGAACCGCAAGAGATTGTCTGGCCTTCAAGGTGGAACTCGTCACCGAAGCCCACCTTCATGCCCATGTGGTGCATATCCATCGTTATAGCTATCTGAAAAATACTCGTGAGTAAGGGTCGTGATCCAAAAGTGATTACGTTTAAGCAGAGAGAAACGATATCGACACTTAAACTCGTTGACGGACGTAATGGATAAAAAGCTATGAAAAGCTCTAGGGACTGGTCGAGGAATGAGGGGATAGATAACTAGTTATAGGAGTGACAAAGGTTGGTGTTACAATTAGAGAGATGTATCCCTTTAGATGAACACTAGGTTGTAAAGCAAATACTAAGTTAGGATAGCTCGGCCAATATACTTAGACATCTCCCCGCCAGGGTATGGCAAGAAACTATGGAAGACAGGAATGGAAACGCGTAGTGGCAGAGAGGCGTCTGTCTAAAACGCCAGTACATGGGGAAAGGATAGACAACATAGTACGTCGTTGTCTTCAAGCCACTGCCTTAACCTGAAGATGGACCCATCTTAATAATTGCTTGTAATTGCTCGCATTTATTGTAACGCCCCTCTCGGTTGGGTTGACAAGTCGACCCTTTTACATTAGGGCCCAAGTCCTTGGGTCAAGCTTGTAACATCGAATCCTGGGAAAATGGCAACCAACACGCATGACCTGTTAGCCAATTTGTTTGGATCTTAGTCCTCGGTTAGCTCCCCTTATGAAGTAATTTTAGAAAAAAAAATAAATGCAGCACAATGAGCGGCAAACATAAAAACCAGCAGCGTAGCAATCACCCAAAGCGGTCAAGTGACGCTATCCAGATTGCGCATTGAAGTCATAAAAGTCCCAGAACTTATCAATTTCGCATGGGCATGGCTCGAAGTGGCACATAGACTACGATTGGATGGCAGATAGGCCGAATAGATACCATAGTAGTTCCTTTGAGGCTCTTCCTTTTTCCCCTAGCCCGCCCACCACCAGCACTTGACTGTAGAGTTGTCTTTACAACATGGAATGGAAATTCAGGAATGGGCCATACAGCCCCGCATTGTGCTTTTCACCAAGGTTCTCCATGCTAAGACAACCGGTTGATTCAGAGACATGGCGTCTTTGGTCGACTAACGACCATTAAGCAATAGACACCAGACATTGCCTGGGTCGAGGATGTGTTCAAGCGTTAACCGGCAACGATAACGACAGCGGAGCTATCTAAGATGATGATGTCAACGACAACACCCGGAGATAATGAGGCTCTACTTTGCTAGCTGTCTACTAGTGATTACTCAACGCTCTCAGGTAGTTAGCCAAGAAAGAATAACTTGGCAATTCGCGACATTAGACCGTTAGATTTCGCTAGTATTGGCGAAGGGAAGGTGTTCAGATGTACGATAAAATCCACCATTTCGACATTCAAGTACATATCTGTATTCCTATTCGGACCATTAAAGGGATCTTGGCGCTCCCTGTTCCTGATTCAGCTAACTACTCAACTCTGCGTTCCTGGCGATGATCGGGGTTCTCTCTGTTCTAGGCGTGCTTTCGAAATGTCAAGCAGTAGGTGGTGTCATTGAATCAAAAGTCTTGCTGATGGCTAGCTGCGCCGTGGCTATCTAACGACGCTGCCCTGCGAGCCTTGAACAGGGGGGCCCATACGCAGGGGGCACCACGCAGGGGCAGGAAACTTGCTCGGCTTAAAGCAGGAACAGGCTCGTTCCTGAAGATGGATGTCTCAAAGAATGCGATTGTCATCAAAGCGCATGATAGAAATGATGGATATCGTTGACTGTATGTAGATATCAATCCGCGACAGACAACCCGCCTATCTCCCCATTAAGCGGCTAGGTTAGTCGCGATTAATTATACCAATAAGCGCGCTATCGCCAGTCCACTCTCAATCTAGCAGGTCATGTTTAAAGGTAACACCTAAGACTCGGGTTTAGACGGTTAGTTCGTACAGTCTGGAAACACGCGATTGTTCATCCTATTGGGTCAATGTTCAATGTTGATAATCTCTTATTAGACTCTCTCGTCCAAATCCCCTAGATGCCCAATAGGTAGATCAAGCAATCAATCTTTTGGAGGATCCTGGGATCCCGTGCTGCCCATGCTGGTAGATAGCCCGTCAGCATCTTAAGTCTGGCCTGTCGGACCCTGTCAGCCTGCCCTACTACGGCCCTACGTGCATACGAGGCTTACCCCGGAGATCACTTTACCGTAGTGTATGTACATACAAGCTCCACCATTGATCTGCGTATGGTATTGTACATAGCTTTGCTGTTAGAAGTAAAGCGGGATCCCGGATAAGACCCTGGTCGGAAAACCCCTCCGGATTTACATAAAGCAGAGTAAAGTTACGTTTATATTCCGTACATACATTAGGTTAGGTAGGTACCTAGTCATAAGACTCATAGCTGAGCATAATTTATCCTAATATCGACCTTGAAGTAGTGGATCTGAATTTTCTGGCTGCGTTGTCCTTCAACACCGCAAAGGACGCTGTCGGGTTTAAGCCACATACCTGTCTCAGTAGATGTCTCAAAGAGGATGAGGGTTAATACTGACGATACGGTAACAATGCCGATACCACCTATCGAGCCGACCTGTCCTCGGCTCTCGGCTGAGTATCTTATTTGGTGAACGAGAAAACGAATTGACAGTGCCAGCAAGCCTCATCAGGGGTTTGATTAGCAGATCGGTTTTCTATGCAGCATACCTCACAGTACAATACGGCACACGGCCCACCCAGTCTTGAAAAAAAAAAAAAAAAAAAGTGCTCATAATGTTTTGTAACTGGGACGTGTCTTTGGCAGGTTGGTTTACATCTTCCTGGCACCGTGCCGGGGCGTGCCGGGGGGTAGGCCTACATACATGCTTGAATCTTAACTGCATGGTGTTGTCGGATTTACGACAGATCGAATTTCTGATTTCCATCTTTACATCCTCGTGCTTGTGGCTTGCCACACCACACCCATTCGCTTACTCACGATTGCAAATGGCTCAAGCTCAGACAGTCTCGACAGTTGTTCTAGGTATTTCTATCTCCAGAAAAGGCCCTTTCAGCGGTGTCAGGTCGGCGACGGTAGATCTCGTCCATTTACAGTACACACCTTTATTCTTACCTGAAAATTATAGAATCACTTGCCAATTACTTCTCCCTAGATCGCGATCGTTGCCAGTTCAAGTTTACCCCTGTCACCATTACCACGTATACTTACAACATATACTTAGTCTACCTATATAGACCTAATGGTTTAGGTAGACTTGTTAAGACAGTGGGTTTGCAAGCGTGACCGCGCGGTTCTGTCCAGGTAATTAATTCTTAATGCCGATATACATCGGGACCGAGTATATTCTTCATTCGACAGCAACCTTCAACTACGCCTTATTACCAGCCGGGTTCCCACGTGTTTCACATACAAGCTACATACAAGCTCAACACCAAGTCAAGCAAACATTTCCAGCATAAAGGCCGCTAATTGCGGGTATCCCAGGGTATCCAGCTGTGTCCTCGAGCGTAGATAGAGCGGCAGCGGTCTGGTTGGTTCGTCTTCACTTAGCATCGCACCCAGTTTTGAACCCTGACGACCCCGAAACCCGTGTTGTTGGTACATGACATGAATCAAAGATTTAGCAACCTGAATATACCAGTTATCAGTTAAAGCAACAGAGAATATAGTTAAATTTCAGTAACTCGTGTTACCCTATCCTTTGATGGGCCACGGTCACCTTATCCGCGCCACCAAGTATGCAATATCTCCCATTTGGATCGACGAATAAAACGGTCGGCGATTGAACCATAAGTCAAGTACATAGTATTATCTCTATGCACCTAGCCTGTCCTATCTGACTAAATTGAATCGCTAATCTCTCCTACTTTATATAATAATAGAACAACGTCGTTGTAGTCGCACATCAACACTACTCCAGGGAACGATGACAAGCAGCAACCACGAGTACAACAAGACTTAATCTGACGAATCATATCGTAGACACTACTTTCAGAGCCCTATCAGTGTGGCCAGAAATGATAGCAAATAATTATGAGCAACATTGTGGCTTTCTAGCCGTGTAAGATTCGGAGTTGGTGGGATACAGATAATACAAATATATTGTCCTCACGCAATGAGAAATACAAGATGGAGTTCGGGTGGGTATATAAGTCGATAACCAACTCATAGTAGTCGACCAAGAGGGCAAATTTCGAATATTACACCTTGACGTCTATCTACAATAGCTTACTCGGCGTGACCTCTCTGCCCACCTGGATATCAAACCATAATTCGAATCTATATCCCCTTAGAAGTCAAAGCGACTAGAAATACGACACCACTTACACTTTCTTACAACCACTGACCGCCCCTTACCTACGAAGACCCAACACAAGCCGATAGCTTTGTTAAGGCACCATGTGTACATTAATTATTAAGTATTACAACTGCGATAATAATTGTGTATTGAAGGAAGAAGAGGTGAAGTGTGATCGGTACCCGAACTGTGAAAACTAGAAGAGGAACGTGGATTCCAAAGATGGAGACTTTGTAATTCAAGAAAGCCGGGCGTCTGGGAGCGAAGGGCAATGCCCACTCCACCCGAAAGAATGGGGACGCTGAAGAGCTTCTGGTTAGTCTTACCTAACAAACTTAATAAACAGTTATATCTCAGTTTTGTCCTAATATATATATGGTGCAGTTAGGTGCCTACGTACGTTATTGCGGTGTTTGGGTGATAGTCATTTACATCTACGCTATTGACGAGAAACGAAGGAGACTCAAACCACATCAAGATATAATTTGTATCTTATGTAAAACAACACTACGATTGTACCATATCCGCGTTTAGAGGCTACTCATCTGTCTGTATGCCCCTATTTGTTGACAATCTGTTCAAGTTGAATTTGAAGTATGTGAAAATGATTATCCCTGGGGCTTTCGTTAGATAGCTTGCCCAGGCGGATTTAAAAGAGACTTCTGTGCTTCTATTATGCATCTCGACTCTTCAACCGACGATTCAACCCACAGTAATCGACAAGGCCTCGAAACCTCTGCTGAAGATTACATAAGAAGAAACTTCACTAGTTAGAATTGGATTAGTTTAGCTGATAGGTCATGTACATATGTAAACCTAGGATATACAATATTTGAACGATCGATAGTAGCAGTGCCACTGGCTTATATCCGCAAGGTGGCGGTAATGCATTCCGTAGCTTACTGAAGAACAGGGGCTGCTATATGCAAGTTGCCAAATTTGCGAATATAAGTAAGTCTATCTGGAAGCAAAATTAATAAAGCTACAATCTCTCGTGCATATGCAATATTTTGGTAGTTAACCGCCTCAAGTAACTGTTAATATTGGAAGACAGCCCATCATATGCAGCTAATTACCCCCGGAGTTTCGTGATGCAGAGTCAATACGGGATTCCCAGACTGTGTACATATGCCTGCTAACATATGACCTAGGTACCGGATCTTATATTGCGGTGCCTATGCTTCTTCCGTACTTGTTACTCCAGGATGATTTATGACAGGTCTTGAGCACTTGAATGCCAAGCTTCGAGAGAAATAGTACACTAGGTAGTGTATTCAGCCATGTTGGGGATCCACTGTGATCGGCGAGTGAACCTTTCTTTTTCCTCCCGTCGAAAGCTTAGAGATGGCACGCCAGCTGGATGGATATAAGCCGGATACCGCAATGAGGAATTTATGCTTAAAACTTCCCCGAAGAGGAATTGGCATGTTTGCTACTCAAGCGTCAGCAGCAAAGGTTTGCAGCGTTATCTGTCTGCCTCTATACTTGTAAGGTTAGGCGCCCTTAGCTCTATTTACCATTTACCACAATCGTTAAGAGACGTCGTCGGAAGACCGTCTTATGGTTACGTAGGGGTTATATGCAGTGCTTCGTTGCACATACGTGGTAAAGCAAGATCCTGTTGGATTCCAAGATAACCTACTAGGTACTTCATTTTATACGACGTCGTGCGACATATTTGCCGACGGTGCTAATGAAATATCGCTAGAGCGCAGCAATATGATACCTTCTTGGAATAACCTGCGCCTCGATCGGTATCATGCTGACAACGGTGCGGCATCGTAGGCGGAATGACCCCCTCGTGTAAGCCTCAAGTTAATTAGTCCCAACAAATAAGGGTACCTAGTTTTGACGGCAGCCTCGGATATACTCTGGTAGCTCTTATGCTAATTTCTCTAAGTGAGATCTGAGAATCACTTATTTTTATTGAAGCTGAGAAAGGTTTGGATGTTCTCGCTAGGGTACCATCGCATAATCGCTCGGTTTGGGGTCGAGAAAGGACGATGTAGGCAAACCCGAATATGACAACTCAAATTTCGACCCAGCATGTGAATGCCGGGTTGAAGCCTTGCCACCATCCATGGGGATCCAGACAAAAACAACTCCAACAAGGCCCGAAGTTATGACAAACCTGCAATGTCTTTTTTTTTTTTAAGGAAAGCTTCATTCATTTTCTTACCACACTAACATATTAAGGCTAGCGGGCACATCTAATGCCTTGTCACAACCTTTATTAGGGAAATAGTTGTGATGGATTTCCTTATGGCACATACCAACTGACTGTAATTGGCTAGATGGGGTGATGGTAAGCTGGAGCTTATGTATCCGGGATATTCCTGCACACTTCATTGCCCATCGCATTGGCTACCGGTAGCCTGGATCGCGGTTATTCCTTAATTTGCCTATCATAACACGGCACTATCCCTGTCACTTTCATCAATATCGTCTAATGCCTCCTGCATCTCCTGCTCGCTCGCCTCCATCCCCGAGGAGCTCATGAGTTTGCTGTCCTTATCCTCAGCTGTGATGATGTTAGTTAATACTACACCGCCTTGTGGAAACCGGGATTGGAAGGATTGAAACATACTTCTAGGTTCTACCAACAAGTTCTCTTGCACCTCACAATCCGTGAGTGTTGAACCCTCCCCAACTTCGCTCCTCTTGCCTAGGATGCAGCGAGTCAGTTTGCAGCCTTTACCCACCACCACACCATCCATAAGCAGACATTGGAACAGCTTGGCACCTTCCTTAATCTGACAGTTCGCTCCAATGACGCTCTCTTTAATTGACGTCTTCTCTTCCACCATTACATTTTCGGCAATCAAGCAATCCTGCCTGGTTATGGTCGTCTGCGGCTTGACACCCTCAGGGTATGCTACCTTTCTAGAATGGGCAAATGCCGACGCCGCCTCGGGGCCGGTTTCCTCGACGGGAGGAAGTTTTGCCAGCTGCAGCGATACGGCAAGGAGAAGCTGTGCTGTATCTACCCGACGGAGTAGTGGGGCATCGGCATGAGCAGGGTGTATATACGCTAGAATTGGGGGAACGACAGGTTTCTTCGGCTTGGCTAGTAGTCCGTCATGCTGTTTGTTCCGGAAGTCTGTATGAGGAGACGTCTCATGGAATTCGCGTGCTCTCCACGGGGAATCGACCAGGCTGGCGTCTGCCGCGGATTCATTACCACGTGGCGACCTATCTATGTCCGGCTCCTCGGTGTGGCCCTCGATGACTTTTTTCATCCCTAGCTTCCCGAATAGCCCTGTCTCCCAATTTGCTTTTGCCCACCAGCCGATGACGTCTTCGCCAAGTGTCTCTAGCCGCTCGTTTTCTTCAATGAAGTCTAAAATCCACTTGGGTAGAATATAAATATGCGCGTCCCGATGCGTGGTTAGCATTCTGATTTTGGGATGACTGCGTAGTAATCCATGGCGTATCGGAAAGCTCTTCTTCTGATCCACAAGATCGTTCAGAGAATCCTTGGGCATAGCATAGGTCAAGTACGAGAGATGCGGCAGTAACGAATCATTGGATGTAGGTACCATGGGTGCGGTTATCGGTGCTGTTACGATGAAATCTGTTTCTTCGCCTTTGATAGGGTTGGCCGTCTTCGTTTCGTACCATACGCCTAAGCCGCCATTGCAGTACGGTGGCTCGCCGTCACTAAGGAGATCCGGAAGACTTGCTGCTTTGACCATCCATGCTTGCAAAAGCTTATCGCCGCCTAGCTCACATACCAAATCACATGGCAAGACGACGAAGTCAGAGGTAATAAGCTCTCGAATCTCAGGGAGTCGCAGTATCTCTGCAGTGCCTGTGTTCTGGTCAAGCCCACTGGGTGCTACAAGGTCCGGGCGCGGGTGAGGTAAACCTGTGAGGAAGGGATTTGTGTTTAGCGCCGTGGTAATAGCGTCGGCGGCAGAAGGGGGGCAAACAAGAGTAATGTCTGAGCCGTGTTAGTTAATGGTTATGACAGAACAACCATTATTGCGGTAGTGAGAGAGTATAATATAAAACCTCTACATTGCGCTATGTAGTTATAAACGACATGAAGATGCTTTGCTTACTTGTGATTCCCGTGCGGTAGCAGAAATCAATGGGGTACCAGACCATAGGCCTATTAGCAATGGGTAATAAGGCTTTGGGGTTCTCATCCGGATTTGATGTAAAGGTCGGAAATGAGGACCCCGGGCCGCAAAGGATGAGGGCCTGAAGGCCCGTGGCAGGCATAGAGACGGCGTGGGGCATTTCGAGCAGCCCAGCCGAGACCGAGGCCTGTTGGAGGGGTTGATGATAACTACCTAGGTAAGGACCTCGGATGAGATGTGGTAGTCTAATAAAGTGTTAGTCCTGTAGATAATTTCGAAATAATTTCATATTTGATCGGTATTGATTTACATTGGTTGAGCTCGAAGGAAGAGAGCTTGATTAGACTTCGATGAAGAGTGATAGAGGATATGTGCTTCTCATCAATAATTGGAACTTTTAGTCACTCACGATAAATATTCAATATTGAAAATGCATAGTGATAGCTCTTATCTGCATGTGGCATGTGGCATGTGGCATGTATCGAAGTACCTAATCGATAGGTACCTACCTTACCTAAACATCCACTATCCGCAGTTATCGGTCTGTGTCCAATTATAGGTACCGCAGACCGTTCAGAACCGTTTATGGAAGCTCTAGGTGAAGCGTTCCCCCTCCAACCAATAAAAACAGCAAACCTAGCCGTGCTCCGAGGTACCAATGAATTTCTTGCAGGGGGTCAGCAGCTCAGAAGAAGCTATGTACAACCAGCCACCTCCGTCCACTTGGTAATCGGGCAGTTTTGCTTTAAAGAACTGTAACATCGAAGAGTTGCAAGAGTTGACCCTATTTTCTTTTGCTACGGAATATTTACAAGCTACCTATCTACCTACCAGGTATCTACCTAGGTTAGATACTACTTGCTACTACCTAAGAAATTGGGTATACTGCTAAACACACATACCTTAGGTACTACCTACATACTATCGTTGCCACCGCTGCGTTTAGCTGTTATTGTTACAGAAGGCGCTCTTTACACGTAGCCCCAACCCCTGTTCGTTCCTCTGTTCGTTCCTATTAGGCTTAGGTGTTACTGCTTCCCAGCCCGCTATTTTTCGAGAGCTGCATCCCGCAACACTTCCAACTTTAACCTTTTGTCACTTCCATTCAAATCATCCGTTATCGAACTTACTTTAGCATTTTACCTATAACTAGGTGATCTACGCCACTGCGACTAAGGTTTCTCGGATCGCGTTCAGATTTCTTGCGTCGTGGTTCGCATTATACCTTTGCTTACTCCACCGCTTCGCGCGTGGTATGCTGGCCACGATCTTGCGATGATCTTATTTGAATAAATGTCGTCGTCGTACGATTCTTCGAGATCCCGCCGCAGGGGTGCCTGGGGCCACTGGGTTCCTATTGTTATTACCCTTACCGTCGCGACCGTTGGTGTCGCTGCTTGGGCATGGAGCCAACGGAGTAACGAACGCGAAGGCGAGGAGAGTGATCTTGAGCCGACCGATCTCGACTACGAAAATGCCGATTATGGCGAGAACCCCCCGTATGGCGCGACGTCGCGTCCTTCTATCCGGCCTGATGATGTAGGCTATGGCGTGGGAGAAATACATCCAGAAGCAAGCGGCGTTTCTGCCGGATGGGGCTCGCGCCGTACACCAAGCCCACATCAGTTCTTCTCCAGCGCAAGCAAGACCGTTGCAGCAGGAGTGGCGGGAGTTGGCGCGGCCGTTGGTAGCGCCTTGGCTGCTATGCGAGATGATGATAAGGACGCATATGCCGACCACGAGACGTGGTCGGAGGAAGCCGAAGCTCGAAAGGAAAAGCCGGCCCCGCCTCAGCCTAGAGACTCAACTAGGCGCCGGAAAACGGTCGCGATCGTGGTCTCGGCAAATACGAATACAGACGATCTTGATGCGGAAGGCTTCCACGAGCATGCTGTATGATGTCGCCTTGTTTTGGTATCTGCGTACTTAGTTGCTAACTTGCTCTTAGTCTATCCTCTCCCACATACCTCGCAACACTGATTTTTCTAAAATTAAGCTATTTGTCTTGATCTATTCACCTGGCCTCAAGGATTCCGTCCTTGAAGCGTCGGCCAGTAACCTTCCTCCGGCATCTTTGAGTTCATCATTCTCGAATATTGCGAATGAGCAGAGTCAAACCCCAGGGGAGGAGGAAAAGAGCCCAATGTGCGTAGATATACCTCTAAGATTAGCGCTCAATATGGACTTGCTGACTTAATATCTAGTTTAAGCTCTAATACGGCTAACACGCCCTTTCAATTGGTGTATTCACAGGCCTTGGCCTTGGTAGAAAAGGAAGCAATGATCTTGCCGTTTACATCCCCTAACGGTCATGTTCATATCCTTCGTCACCTACAACCCGAGGTAATATATCTTCAGGAATCTCTAGCCGGAGACAACGGAGGTGTAATTACCCAATTACAGACCTGGCTCAAGTACGACGTTATTCTTGTCGTCGGAGCCGAAGATGGCCATGGCGGGCTCGCAGATAGCGAGTCGGAGGCCGAAAAACCGGAGAAGGAGACAGAAAAGAAGAATGACCTATGGTGGCAGCGGGAGGAACGAGTAGGACGAGGAAGAGGAGTGGTAGTGGTGGATAGTCTAAGGGTTGGTGACGATTGGGCGCGGCGGGTGCAAGGTAAAGAGTGATGATATCTTGTAAGATATCACTCTACAAATGGTGACACGAGCAGCATGCATGAACTGGTGGTTTTATACGATTTCTTGATGGAATATTGACGCTAGGTTACGCCATGGTAGATACATGATTTACCGCTTCTATATCCATGGGTTGGTTGCGCTTCAGTTGGGATATAAGTAATAAATATGTTTTGGGGCTGCCGGACTTTACTGGACTTAGTGCCTAGTATTGCATCGCGTAGTTAAATGTATTTCTTGTCTGTGTTTTATGCTGGTATCGGGTAGATTTAGGTGGTATCACTACATGTAATCACGTGAGGCTGAAAAACACCTGCCACATGAAGGCTAAGGTGGAACCACTTGTACTTTTTAACTAAACCTTGAAAGTCACCAATGCGGCTGATGAGGCTCAATTCAAATTAGCGATTTATGCCAGAGTCGAAGTTCCAACTTCTTTCCGTTACTAACATACGTTCAACCCCACACAAAGCATTCAACAACAATCTCGTCCTTGTATTATCGGGATTCTTCCCGGATGCATCGTATATCCATCGTCGCGTATTGCTGGAGTATTATTCGATGTAATTCATAATTCGATTAGATGAGCGGCATTTTGTCAATTATCTTCCTACTCGTCGCGCGCGCATCTCAAATTGTTAAGGAAAACCTACACGTCGAAACTACGTCGCGATCAATGTCCATAGTAAAAGAGAACTTAGTCATACTCTTAGTCCCTGGCCGCTACTGATTGAGCGTCATTTGGTCGCTTCGTAGTGCGCGGAGCTCTACATCAACTATGGCTCCAGTCGTCGCCGCCGTTGTCCCTCCACCGCCGACCCCCAAGATCAAACGTCCACCGCCGCCGGGTATCCAGACAAATGGCGTATCTTCATTACAATCTTCCCCGTCTCCAAATATGACTGCTAAGCGCCCTCCATCCGCCGTCGCTAAACAGCAGCAACAACAACATACATCGAATTCATCCTCGACGAACGGTACTAACGGGACTACCCATCGACCCGGCGTAGCCCGTTCGAGACGCGATACATCTAGTCAGGTTCAGGGACGAAATCAGAGGAATAATGTATCCCTGAGGTCAGCTACATTGGCTCCCGACACGTCGTTACATAGATCGTTCGAGCCGCGTCCAGATGGTGCGTACTCTATAGCAGTTATCCATAGTTTTATTCAATATTCGCACTTGATACTGACTGTTACTTATAGTTGTTACCGATGCCTATATTCTAAAGAAATATTCCGGGCACCCCCCATCGCTGATCGTACATCTACATCCTAATCATTTTCGATTCGATATGCAAGATAGCGTTTTCCCATACAAATCTCCAATGAGGGCCTTTCTAGATCACGTCAGAAACCGAACAGTACCACACGACATGTTACAGGATCTCAACGAAGCCGGTGTTGCTTTTTACGAAGGTTGCCTAATCGTACAAGTACATGATCACAAGACTGCCGCGCAAGTTAAGGATGTTGCGCGTCCAGCCTCCAAATCTACCTCAGAGAAACCCTCCTCGATTCATAACTATAACCCTTATATAACTCCCTCTCCCTATGTCCCATTTCCCAAGGACAGCGCTGAAAATGGGTTCCAAGAAGGCGACGTAAAGCCCGCGCATGATGACTTAAACGATAAGGAGAACATGCCGGCTCCACCTGCTCCTACTGATGGGCAGAAAGCTAAGGCCCAGGCAGAAGTTAAGATCTTTACGGTCGTCCTTCATCCAACCCCGCAAAGTTTACACATGGACTTGATGATCAAGGCCTGTACGCCACGTGGATCTGGTGATGCGAAGGCCGGTGGGGATTCTAATGTCATACCGCCCACCCCGATATCTGCTGTGCCTCCAACTCCAACTGCAGCGAACATGCCACCGCCGGCGAAGAAAGCGAAGAGAGAAAAGATGGAATTGGACGGGAGCAATATATACGCCGCTGAAGCACAGATCCTACTTGCGACCTCGGCTCCGCTAAACTTAGAAGTGCCCAAAAATAGAGAAGATGCCGTCATACTTCTGCTTAAGCACATGGCTGATCCGAAACACTCCGAGCCTCCGCCTGAGCCAAAGGCTCGGAAACGGACTGTAGCTGAAAGGGCCGCCGACGAGGCCTTGGCTGCAGAGCAAGAGAAATATATGCTTACATACGATGAGCGCCGCTCCGCTAATACTGGCGGTGCTCAGACTGGTGCTGATGGTGCTGATGGTGACGGCCAATCCGGTGCAGCTACTTTTGAGCCTCGATTTGAGAGATTCAAGGTACTTGCTGATATTAAGAGTGCGCATAAGGCGAAGAAAGAGCAGGAGAAGATTCAGCAGGCAGAAAATGAGCGCAAGCTTCAAATCCAGAAGCAGGAACAGGCCGCATTACTACAACGGCAGCAAGCCGAACAAGAAAAATCACGCCGCGAAGAAGCTCAGCGGCAAGCGCAGATACGACAGCAGCAGCAGCAGCAGCAACAGGAAGCACAGCGGCGTGCTATAGCCCAGCAGCAGGCCCAAGCCCAGCAGGCCCAGGCTCAAGTTCAAGCACAGGCTCAAGCACAGGCACAGGCACAGGCTGCACAATCGCCCCCGAACGCGCAAATAAACCAAATACCGCAGTCGTCTCACGGGCACCCAGTACAAAACGGGCTTGCTAACGGTGTCATGTCGGCTCAGGCTCCTCACAGGTTCCCGCAGCAGGTCTCACAAGCGCCTGTCTCATCTCCGGTCGTTCGCCAGAACACGCCGCAAAATATGTCGAGTCCTATGGTTGGAAACGTGCCGATGCAACAGACTAATTCCGGTATGGGTGCCAGTCCTCAAAGGCCGTCCTCTGTTGTGCAGAGCCACGGGCCGATGTCCGCGCCCATGGCTGTTAGCATGTCTGCAAGGGGTAGTCAGCAAAGTCATCCCTCGAACACGCCTCGTATGCCGAGCGCGACACCACAGATGTCGCACGGTACCCCGATTAATCGACCGATGCCCACGCCCCGGATGAGCCAAGCCAGCCCACCCCCGGGCATGATGGCCCAAAACTCGCATATGGGCCAAATGCTCATGGGCAATCAGAATATGGGCCAGCCTATACCTAACCAGATGATGGTGGCTCAGATAGCGCAGCAGCAGCGTCAACGGATTGCTCAACAGCAACAGCTTCAAGCTATGCAGAATGGGATGATGAACGGGCAGAATCCACAAATGCATAACCAAATGTTACAGAATCAATTTATGCGCCAGCAGATGATGAACATGAACATGCAAAATCCCAATATGCTAACTGCTACTCAGCAGGCACAGCTTCAACGATACCAGCAACAGATGAGCAATATGCAGCAGCAGCAACAGCACCCGCAAATGCAAGGACAAATGCCCAACCAGCAAATGGGTAATCAGAATTTTATGAACGCTGGCAACGGTATGAATCCCGCTCAGATAGCTGCCATGCAACAGATGCAGCAGCACATGCAACAACAGCAGCAGCAGCAGCAGCAGCAGCAGCAGCAGCAACAGCAGCAGCAACAGCAACAACAACAAGGTCAGCACCCAGGAAATGGACCCAACCCTTTTGCGGTGCAAATACGGCAGAGGCAGCAGCAGCTCTACCGCGCGAACATCACACAATTTGCGGAACGGTTTGGTGGCCCCCAGAACGTGCCTCCCGACATTCACGATCAGTTCAAACAGAACTGCTTGAGGAAGGCCCAGGAGTCGTTACAGCGTGATATTGCTCAGCGGCGGCAACAGATGGCTCAAAACATGCAGAATGGCATGCATAACGGGATGCCAAACGGGATGCCAAACGGGATGTCGAATGGGGTGCAAGGTGGTATGCAAAATGGGATGAATGGGATGAATGGGATGAACGGAATGATGTAGTAAGGGACGGTGGCTGAAATACATAACAGAAACGTTGTGGCCACAGCTACGTTCGTATTGGAATTGTACAAACAGACGGGCCCGGGGTAGCATCAGATGGGGTATCGTTTATACGTGCGACTTATATGGCGTTTATAGGAGCAATGGGGGTGTACAGGGCTACAAAGCCGTAGCATTATCGAGGTATCCCCTCGGGACCAGGCGGGTCAGGTTTATTTCTATTATACCCATTTCGCTAGTTTGCTACGGGATCACGAACAACAAAACATGTTGGATGGAAGGGATCCTTTAGATAAGAAGCGCAGAATCAGAATTCGTATTCATCTTTAATATCCATTCGAGTCCTCAGGTCTGTTTCGGCATTGTGCAACTACTTTCCGAGTATTACTAGAACAAACCTTAAGGGTCACAGGAAGGGATGTCACGTGAATACTATGATGCAAGTGCAGGTACCTTGTTTACGTAAGCGTTAGTACTTTTAAGTTGTAACCCCTGCAGGCCTATGACGATGAGCCATGAGCCGTAAAGAAGAGCAGCCGAAAACCCAACAAGCTTCAAGTACCGCTCAGCCAAGTGCACGCTACTTTACTTTAGCTCACCAGCATCGAGGCATCTGGGCATCTGGGCATCTGTGCATCTGTGCATGCGAGATCTATCGCAAAAAAAAAAAAGGACTTGACCATCTTAGGTTCCTTCTTCCTTTTCATTAAAGCTCATCTGATACTTGGGTAGATTTCTTATTTTTAACTACCGTTATTCTGAACCTTTCCTTCGTCACTTTTTATTGTTTTTGTCATATCGTCACATCGTGACATCTAACACAACACGCGCATCTTGAATCAATCCCCCGAAAACTTAAACTTCGAGGCTTCAACCACATCCTATTCATCTAACTTATTCATAAACCTCCAACTATTCTATTAAGTACAGTCTCGAATATCCCTTTGCATCCTGCATCCTGCATCCTCAACCTACGCAGTTCGACTTCCTGACGACACCGACAGGCCCGATCGCGTTAGCGAAGTGTTCCTACGCCATGAAAGTCCCCACGATACATGCGGCAGATGCCGTGCTACTTCTATCCTTATTAGCAGCTCCTCTACCAACAGTCGCAATGCTCAACTGCGAATCTGTCGTTGCTGATAAGCAAATCTTCAACCTTAAGGCTCTCGGAGGCCCGCACTCCATCATGACGAGTCGCATCCTAGACGGCAAAGTTCATAATATGACATATACCGTAGATATTTGTCGATCCCTTGGCAAGAAGAAAGGTGCGAAGAAGGGCGAAGAATGTCCTAATGGAACTCGAGTATGCGCCATCAAACGCGTAGACGACCATATCGACAAAGCTATACCGATCGCCGGCGAATTAAGAGACCATGGCGGGGGTAGTTTGGATCATGAGGTGACACGGCTCAAGACCTCGGATTCAAATTCAGACTCGAAGAAGGAGGGTGTGCTCCTAGTGATGAAGGGCGGCATGGACAGGACAGACAGCGGAGGAAAACGATGGCAGAGAGCCATCATAGAATTTCTCTGCGATAAAGATCGCAACGGGACCGAAGGCGAATACGATCCTACCGACGACAAATATGAACCTAGCCCCGACCCGGCTATGGCTCGGGTAAACCCGCTCCTATTTCGAGCTGAGAACGGCGACGGAGATGGCGGAGACAACAATGGCAATGGCGACGGTGGTGGTGATGACGAGCCACCTAAAGAGGTTCAACTCGGCCTTGAGAACGACCCGAGTCTGAAATTCAACAGCTACGAACCGCTAAGCGAGGACGGGAATATCGATGTCCTACGGCTGACCTGGTTATCTAAATATGCTTGCGAGAATAGGGACAACGATGACTCGGGTGAAAGCCCAAGTTCGCACTGGGGTTTCTTTACGTGGCTGGTTATCATGTAAGTGTTTGCTCCTATTGTATCCGGAGCACCGGATATGTTAAGTTATATAACATGCTAATCACACTATTTAGCGTCTTCCTTGGAACCGCGGCTTATCTCGTCTTTGGTTCGTGGCTCAACTACAATCGCTACGGGGCTCGAGGCTGGGACCTCATCCCGCATGGCGACACTATCCGCGATATTCCGTACCTACTTAAGGACTGGACTAGGAGGGTGCTTAACACCGTGCAGGGAAGCGGGAGTCGCGGAGGCTACAGCGCAGTTTAAATGTGGCGGGAGGTGGGATATGAATGGTTTCGTACTTGCGAATATGAGATTGTCGTTCTATACGGAACGTCTGGTGATTCCGCTTGTCCGATTCTTTTTGGCGTTTGACGGCGGCATATGGGTTGGCCTAGAGCCATGTGTGATGCGGTTCCTTGTATCATAGGTTAGGAAATTAGAGATGGATCCGTAATAGTATTTCTGTGCATTACTCTCCTTTCATCTTGTGTGGACACTCTAGAGATAGCTAGGTTAGAACGATTGAAAGGTATGAGGTAGCATAGTATGTCATGGGTAGGCTAAGTAAGTAGGCAGGTTACCCCTGAATACGAGTCCTCTACGGTTCCCTTTTCTATATACCTCTGTCGAGACTTGGCAGTAAAGGGGGAAGCTATGTATTACTAGTATACCAATATATGTTCTATACAGCACAACGTAGCCATTATAAAACCACTCTACGGAATATTCCAAGAGTCTATACAAGCTTCTACGAGTATCTAATATTGTATAGGATATATCATGTGTCCCTATAGCCAAACTATGCTAACCTAGTAACTTATGTATTACTAGCCGGAAGTGGAGTCACCCCCTTTTGCCCCTATTTCTTACACCCTTTTTTCGATCTATTAATAACTCTTTATTCTTTTTCGATTTATCTTTGAATACAGAAACATGTATTAAGCTCTCGATATACCTATAGTACTAACCTAGGGTATATGATGCTTCTCTAGATACGGCTTCATAGAACTAAGAGTAGCATATGTATCAGGACGTTGGTATTTAGACTATTTCTAGGCAAAAGGAGTGTTGTTAACTATGGTTGTCTAATTCATCCGCTTCATAACTTTAAGGTAAACCAGTGTTCGTCGATCGCAGTCATTCCCCAGTGTAATCTCAAACTTCGAATGCGTTCTGGAAGCCTTTTAAGTGCTAGACCAGGTGGTCAAGACGGTGAAAGCCGTTAGCCCCCTGATGGCGTTTGCAGTATTCGCAAGGGTACCGAGGTACATTATTGGACTGAGAATCAACGTGTCGTGTGAGGGCGTCCAGTCGGCTAAATCTGACTCCATAAGCGCAGCTGTATGGTTTGTGAGAAGACACTCTTGCGTGCTTGTTCAGCTCTGTGGGGTTCGGAAATATTTCGTGGCACTCCCGACAGCTGCTGGTATCCAAGTCGTTAGCAGGAAAAAAAAACCTCTTACCCTTCTTCATTCGGTCGCGTGAGTGAAGAGTGGGTGATTGGTGGTGGTATATCCTGCATGGCGTCCTGCTGGTCACCCGAAACCCAGCCAATGGTAAGATTATCGTCCGGAAGGCCTAGAAGGGCGTTGTTGCCCAAGTAGAGGTTAGGTACCTGTCCGTTCCTATCTATGATTCTGAAGCGTTTAGAGGTCTCCTCCAGGTATTGAGCGTATCACTATGACGTGGAAACGATGGAGACGTCTATATTGAAAGTTCACAAAGGTGGCGATATAAATAGTAGCGTTCGGTCGGGAATGGCATTCTGATTCCAACTATCGAATTTCTTCACTCGCGATTTAAGGAGTAATATCTGAAAATAAGAAAATCCGATTTACCAAACCTATCAATTCATAATCATGTCGACCGGCGGCACAGGCGGAAACCCGATTCGGGGACCAAACTACGGAGCGACAGCGGCACAGCAGAGCCTTGATCTATTAGACGACCCGGACCCTAAGGGTACAGCAGCCGGATACGTACGTCTTCCCATTTGGCTACCGGTCCCGATGTCACCAACACAGCAGTCTCAACTAACATAAAGGTCCGAGGTGATAGGTCCACGATCAAAACCAGGGCAAATCCCTTCTCGGTGCCCTCAAGGACACCCTTAGACCAGGCGACACCAAGAAGCAGCAGCACCAGGGCTCGGGGTTCAATGGCGATTTCACACACGACGGGCGGCATGGCGGCATCGAGGAGACCATGATTCCGGGACACCGAGACTACGACGAATCGCGGGAGGCCCCACAGGCCCACCACGACGGCATCCGGACCGATGGTAGTAACGTGCTCGAGTCCGCAATGCCGGGGTATAAGGACCACAGTAACAAGGAGCGGGGTGGTATCTTCAGTGCCATGAAGTCTGCTGCCGACAACACGCCCGATGTTCCGGGCGCATTGAAGAAGGCTGTGGGAGGCAGGGACCCCGGAAGCGTCGGGCAGAAGAATAGCGGAGGGATGACGGGGAGGACGGATAAAAGCTCCAAGTTCGACAAGTTCCCTGCTACCGGGAATTACTTGGGACCAGAGCCAGGCTCGGACTCGGCGACTGGGACCTCGGCATTCGATACTCAAGGTTCTATTGGACATCAGTTCTCGGTACGTGAATATTGACTTGTCTATTTCTATTTTCATACCGCAAGTCTTTTATCTAGTCGTTATGTGCCTATGTACGGATAGTATAGATAGGTATATTAGCTAACACGTCTTGAACGTCCAGTCCGAGGGCGCGATCGGTGGTACAGCACATAAGATTGGTGGTCCATTCTCGAAAGAAGGCATAGTTGGGCGGCAGTTCACCGATAAGGGGTCCGTTGGCGGAACTGTCCAGGATACGATCGGCCGTGGAAACGAGACGAGAAAAGGGGAGTGATATATAGCTAATATATAGCAAGACTGCCGATACATACGAATACATGCGCATTCAGTTGATAGTAATGGCCAAGAAATATAAATACAAACTCAGATATAATCCACTTCGGCCTAAGAGGTTTCATTCCCAAATACAATTATTCCTATCTTTGGGGTGGACTCTGGAATAGGCCAATCGGGAAGCTTCAGACTGCGAAGTGCTATCGAGCGGATAAATTCAAAGAAATATGCCTTTCTTAAAGTCTGCAAATATAAAGCTTAGAGACCCAAGCACGACCATTGTGTTGGTATTGATAATAAATAATTCAAGAAGATCCAGGTGTTGGCTCAGAGATGTAATCTATAGAAAATAAGTTGTCCATTGGAATCCCTAAGGCTACCGGTAGGGGCATAGTAATGAACAGGAGATGGCTGTCTGAATTATCCGGAGGATCGGTCTAGATGAGGACGTGAGTTTGGATAGTCTATCACCCTATCACCTACCTACCTGGCTCTCGACTTTGCTCAGGACTTCTAGTATTCCTCATCATGTCACCATTATGAGGAAGCATGAATATCTGTCTCGGATGTTCGAGAGTCTTCGAACTCTTCGATTCGGCGCATCATTTCCTCTTTCCACGAGCGGTATTCCTCTCGCTTCTTATCGGTCATATCCCACTTGCTCTGAAGCATAGTATCACCCCTCTGGATATGAAGCCTTTCGCTAAATTGTTCTTCGTCGCCATCCTCCATTTCCGCGTCTTCGTCATCAATACTGGTGTTCTTTGTTTTTACCATGTGCTTAATACCAGCGAACCACTCTTCTTCCTGCCAGTTATTCTCGACCACCTTGGCAACGGCACCGTCTACATCTCTCGACTTGATGTCTACCCAGCCGATCCATAGCTCATCCTCATCCATCCCCGTCACATGTACATTCTCCTGTGCTCGTCCCATAACATTAAGGATCGATTTTCGCATCCGCGCGTATTGTGGATCGTCCAAGTCCTTTCCTTGCTCTAAGACATATATTTGCGACGAAACGAGGAAATATACAGCCGCCAGCAATGGTGCCAAGTGCTCATTAACCCACTCGTCTTTAGTTCGCTTCCCGTGTGGAGTGGCAATCGTCTGGATACCGGCGAGGACAACTCGTCCGATACGTTCCTCGTCTAGCTCTTTACACATAAACTGAATTGTAGGTCGAACCCAGGCCGGCAGTGCGCTCGTACTGCCTCCTGCTTTTCTCTTGGCGGGTAGAGGTGGCGGCTTACTTGCAGACTTCGACGGGGTGCTATTAACCTTGACTGCAGCGGGAGACCGAAACTTAGCTAACGATTCCTCCTTAGTAGGGGTACCTCGGGAGGGAATTCGTTGAGTGCTGCCTAATGTTCCCGACTCGCGTAGCTTTGAGCTCGGGGTCCGCACTCGTCCCGACCTCCCCCCAGCATTTGTAGGTAAGACATTGTCAAGATGGGCATATAGTCTCTTGTATATTCGAGGTGGGACGGGAGGTCTGGGTTGGATCGGTGGAAGGTCGAGTGTTATCTTCAGACGTTCGCAAGCAATATGAGCACATGCGTAGGTCCGAGCTACTTCTTCTTCGGCCTTGAGCGTACCAGCACTGTGACGGGACTGCGTAAGCAAGGAAGACGCGAGCTCGAGGAGAGGTTGAGGTAAGTCTTTGGAGTAAGTAGGTAGTAGAGAAAGGAGGGTTGGTTCTAAAGTGCGGCTCATGTCGGAATCAGGCTTAGGATACTAGGAAAAGGACAAGTGGAAGAACAAGATATAACAGCTTAGATGGCTAGGCTCAAATGCAGTCAGATCAAAAAGTAGGACGAGTTCAAGAGTTGTCAAAGTTAGAGAATCCAAAATGACGAAGGAAGCTTAGATGACTAGGTTAGTGTAGACGACCACTAAAACAAACCCCTGCTAATAACCCCGTATTGTACCTAACGCGACCCGGATAGGCTAATCTTAGCGGGTTCGACCCCTGCAGGAAAACTGCAGATAGCCTGCAGGATCATAACTGGGGATCGATGATCTCACTTCCCTTATCTATCCACCTAGCTTATCTTGGAGCCAGATCCACGGATGCAACTTCCCCGGTTGCCCGGCTCTATTCTCCCGCCGTGCAGTCCTGTTGTCCTTGTTGATCCTTTTCGCTTCTCTTTATCTTTTGACTCTTCGTACTCCCTTGTCCTCGAATCACCGTCCCTTTAGTCTTTAGTGTAAGATAAATCTCAACAGATAGTTTCAGAATGCGCGCTACAATATTGGCTGTAGCTGGCCTTGCCAGTAAAGTCCTCGGTCATGGTGATCACAGCGGATCGCAAAAGCCAATGATCGACGAGAATGCCAATTGGATAACCAAACATATGGCTGGTATGATGTGCTCCTTATTCGTGTAGCTATCCCCTTAATTTAACAATGACTATAGAGGAGCACCATATCAGCGACTTCGACGCCTCATCCTTCTTCGTCCTACACGACTACGATGCCGACGGCCAGTGGGAAGCCGATGAGATCTTGCGCACGTACGGGTTGATGGACGAATCGAATAAGGCCGTGCCACAGTCACGCCGTGACGAGATTCAGCGCGAACTACTACATCTACTAGATGCCAATCGAGATGGGCTCGTGACGCGCGAGGAGTTTGTCGCTTTCATCAATTCGGGAAAGACTCTTCCAGACGTGGGAACGGGACCCGGACACCACGGCGACGATGAGTACGAGTACGAGATACACCACTGGGAAAAGTATCACGACGAGAACACCAAACTCGAAGACCTAACGCACCCTGAAGACATCGAGCATTTTAAGAAGCACGAGATGCTAGAGGACGAAGAGGAAAGGCTCGAGAAGCTAAACAAGATGGCCATCGTAGAAGATAATATCCCGAGCAAGTTTAGAAGAAGCAACTAAAAAACTTGATTGATACTTGATACCCATTAGATTCTAAACTAAATACCTAATTGGCGAGAAGGGGCGTACTAGTAATTGCATATTGGCGGGCTGCGTTAGGAAATATACACGATTTACGACCTGGCGCGTGTTGGAATGGGTTTATATATAATACGCTCATGTTATACTACTAGACTTTGTAATGTATAAATCGAACACGCAGTGCCAAACTCCCGGCGCGAATGTCTTGACAAGCTCCGTATGTTCTATGCGTGCGGTTATGTTGGCATTATCGTTGTCGTTGGGTGCTAAACTCAAGAAATACTGTTCTATACCCCCCCTTCGTTTCTCAATATCTGCCACCCCTACATTCTCATGCAGATGAAGCCACGCTTCCTGTCCTTTATTGCGCCCTGAAATATCCCAAGCGTCCTTCCATGAGGCATCACTGGTAGGCAGTAGACCACAGTTGACATGGGATATATTTAGTTCGCTTAGCTCTCTGATTCTCTGCGCAGCATGCTTGTTATCTTCGAGAAAGACTATGATCTGCTCACCTCCACTTACAAGCTCCCCCATCGGCAATGTGAGGTCATGTTCGTCTTTCACAACCCGCACCGACCAGCCATTTCCCTTGGCACCACGGCGCAAGCCTTCCACGCTCCACGGATTCAGCTCCCAGCATAGCACCCGCATGCCTAGCTTCGCATACGAGAAGGTAAAGTACCCGATACCCGCGTATAGGTCGACTGCCCAGGTATCCTCTAGCAATTTTCTATCTTCCATGTGCCTGTTGTCATGAAAGCCGAGTAGCCGCGCTTTTTCCTTGATGTTCCCTCGACTGAACATAGTCCACCGAGGCGCCCACGTCTGGAATATGCCATTCTGCCTCGTCGAGACCCAGAATGCATGCTCGAAATCCGGCGTGATATCCTCAGCAGAAGCGGGACCAAAGTCCCCACGCAAGATATGAAGGCCGGTCGGGCTACGCAATATGTTCTCTGGCGCAGAATTATCCCCCACTGCATTTTCTGCTAGGCTGTGGCGGAGGGCTGCAGGAATCCCTTCGTTTACGGCTATATGCGTGAGTTGCGTTCCTCCACTCCTCTTGGAGATCTCTGCCAAGATCTGGACCCACAAGAGATCGACTTGCTCATCAGATAGGACCAGGAGCAACTGTTTCCACGCGGTTGTATGAAAAGAGCCTGCTGGAAGTAATACCATTGGCTCGTACACCGTCCATCGTTTCGGGGCATGAGTAACGAGTTCATCAAAATCCCATCGCTGGTGCTGAGTCAAAGCGTTGGCATTAAACCAAGTCTTAATTGCCGCCTCAATTGGGTTCAGAGGTAGCGGTCTCTTGCGCTTTGGTTTGTTCTTTGGAAAATCCATAGTTCCCTAACCCTTAATCAGAGACTGTTGGATTAGAATCGAGAGGACGTGGTGTTTGTAGTCGAAAGAGTTGATGATTAATGATTGATGATTGATGATTGATGATTGGCGGGGTTGATTTTGAGGATTTCCTATTCGGGAACAATGATTGGTTCACGTTCCCTTACGTCCAGGTCAAATAGGACTCACCTAAAGCTAGGTAATAACTGCTTTCTACGTAGGAATCCTGGTCGAGAATGTATAATAACTACAATATAGCAAACGAGTGATATGAGACTTAGTCCTACACAGAAAAGAAGTTGATAAATAACCTATTCAATTAACCTAATTATCTCAGCCCAATACCTGCTCCACTCCTCTTACTAATCTACCCATAAATGTACCTAGTAAGAAAAGCATCAAAATATAAAATACCTCCATGTCTATCAACTACCTAATGTAAAGAAACGCATGTGTTAGGTAATCATGGCTTTGGCCTCAATCAGCCTTTTTGGGCCTCAGAGTTTAACTCGAAAAGACCTTCCGATCGGCCTCACATATGCATCAAGTTATCGTACCATTATAATATGTGCCTCAGGTTATTTCAAGCTGCCCGCACTTTGTGTTACCCAAGGCACCTACGCCTACCTAAATCCATCTAAATCCATGGAAGCTAACCCCCTCGTTCCTACGTCGCAGAGAGCTGCTATTGGATCCTGCAGCTGCCCGCTACCAGCCGATCAATCCCGCCATACCACCTTTTGAACTTTGTTCGTTAGGGTCATTACACTTTCCCCATCTTGTTTCCTGACAAGGCTATCTCCTCCCTAATGCTTTATTAATCCACACCTACCTGCCTACCTTAGGTTAGGTACATTAGGTAGGTACATACCTTCTTTGAATTTTAGTTTTCTCCATCCGCACATTTTTCGAGTAGACTTTACACAAACTTAGCATGGAGGTCTTCATGCAAGACCTTCCTTATGGCCTCAACGACCAGGGTCTCAAGACCCAACTAATCCCTATCATTACTGAAAGACTGCGCATTACGGATTGGACATGTTGGAAAGTCCGCGGGAAACGTACTGGCACTGTTACCTTCCTCTATGAAGAACATGGAGAGAAATTCCTGCAAGTTCACGGCGGCGCCCGTAGAATCGGTCCCCGGCGCTATCAAGGAAACTTGAATATTCTCAACAACTGGGTCAGGTGTAAAATCAGTAAAGGCATCCCAGACAAGTTTCTACTGAAGGCTATGATCAAGACAGCGGATGATATCAGACAGCAGGAGGAAGAAGAGAAGTTATCTCCGAATGATAGAAAGGTTGTCTTCGATCTTCGCGAGTTTTCATGCGGCCATTACGAATATATGAGTCGCAAACTCGCTTACAGCCCCGACATCACATGGAATACCCAAGGAATAGCCAAATTTGCCAGGGATTCACTTATAATCTCATACGAATCCATCCGAGTTGAAATCCCATATCGTACTGTCGATGAGATAGTCGTTTCTAGCGTTCGTCAAATACCTACGTTGACCTTAACTCTATGGGAAGCGCCTCGGTTATTTGAAGCGCATGCTTCACCCCAAGATATTGTATTGGACACAAGTCGATTGACGATTTCTGGACCTGCCCCAGGACTAATTAGGGGATCCAAGCTTCGGTTGAGCCACCTACCACACACTAGCGCCAATCATGCAGCAATCCTAGGGCAGAGCCTCGTGTACAGTATTCAAATATCGCCTACTGAGTTCAACCCTAAGCTCCAGCGACTTAAGCAAAAGGAAAAGCTCAAGATTTCGTACTATGACTTCCCGGACGTCTTGTACGGCCGAACCTCTATGGCCGAGGGGAATGAGGCGATAAAAGCTTTACTCGATGAATACCAGGCTACTTCTACCATTCCTTTTGATATACTTTTTCAGTTCCAAGCTCTTGTTCAAAACGGCTATCTTCTACCGCAGACGGTCGAGGTACTGCTCAAACGCCTTCGCCAGAAAACCCGTGTCCCTCCCGCCAATAGGTCTTCGAGCATCCAAGTCAACGGGAATTACCGACTAGGCATAGGTAACAACGGAATTAATGATACCAAAAATGCACCAACACAGCCCCCCTTTCCTTTCTCCGCAGGTGCGGTCAAGAAGCTTTTTTCCCAAATACCATTCCCCAGCCCAAATGTGGAAGCAAGCACATTTGATCCAGACGAGATTTGGTCATACCTGGAGACCAATGAAAAGGAGATCCGTCGTGGCACCGGAAAGGACTTGATATCGGAGAGGGCAAGTCGGAGTCTTGTGATGGTATACAAAGTGCAGGTTACTCCCACTCGAATCACCTTTCTTGGACCCGAACTAGAAGCGAAAAACCGAATACTGCGGAAGTTTCCTGACCATATTAGCTACTTTGCCCGTGTTCAATTTTGCGATGAGGATGGCCAGGATCTATTCTTTAATGCTAAGGTGTCACTTGACTCGGTCTGGGAACGATTCAGGAATATCCTCTTACAAGGGGTTCATATCGCTGGTCGCGATTACAAGTTCTTGGGGTTTTCTCACTCCTCCCTTCGAGCGCACAGTGTATGGTTCATGGCTCCCTTCACTGATCATGATGGGAACTCGCAGGACCATGTCCGTGTGATTTCGCTTCTCGGGAAATTTGATAATATCTATTCGCCTTCCAAGTGCGCCGCCCGAATCGGCCAGGCTTTTTCCGAGACTCCATTCTCTTTTGATCTTGACAGTGTTAGAACCACCATTAAGCTTATTTATGACGTAAAATCTAGCGATGGGGAGAGAGTGTTCAGTGATGGCGTTGGGACACTGTCTAGATCATTGATGGAGGCTATTCATGCCTCCCTACCACAACAGAGAAACACGGCCACGTGTTTCCAGATTAGATGGGCAGGTGCTAAAGGAATGCTTTCATTGGACGACACCCTCGAGGGAATGGTTATGTGCATTAGACCGAGTATGGTTAAATTCGAAAGCGAAGATAGCAAATACCTGGAGATATGTGATATGGGGAATAGGCCTATCCCCCTTGTTCTTAATCGTCAAATGATCAAGATCCTTGAGGATATGGGTGTCACACGCGAATGGTTCCTCCAAGTTCAAAATCTCGAGCTTGAAAGACTACGCATGATCACTGCCCAGATCCACAACACTGTCACATTCCTCAAGAGACAAAAGGTTGCAGAGCAAATCAACTTCTCAAAATTCATCCGCCGTCTCCATAAACTGGGGATAGACTATAAGAAGGACAAATTCCTCTGTTCTGTCGTTGAGACCGTTATCTTAAGGGAGGTCCGTCTTCTCAAGCATAAAGCCCGTATTCCAGTCGAGAAAGGTGTCACACTCTTCGGCGTTATGGATGAGTTTGGGGTTTTGGAGGAGGACGAAATTTACGTCACGTTTGAGCAAAAAAAGCTTTACGGAAAACGTGGTATTAATATAGATCTCCATAACCGATTGGTATTGATAACAAGGTCCCCTGCTCTTCATCCGGGCGATATTCAACTACGGACAGTGGTCGTACCTCCAGATGATCATCCCCTCCGGTCGCTCTCGAACTGTGTTGTATTCAGCCGGAAGGGAAAGAGAGATCTTCCTAGTCAACTAAGCGGTGGAGATCTCGATGGCGATATCTACAACATCATTTGGGACGAGCTTGCTGTCGACCCATCGCTGTTGGAATTTGCCCCAGCGGACTACCCCCGGGTTAATCCCCTGGACATTGGCCGGGAGGTGAGATGGGGGGATATGACGAATTTCTTTGTCGAATTCATGGCCACCGACCAGTAAGTTCAAATGAGTCCATATCTCTATCGCGACGCAATATGACCTGATCCTTCCGCAATGTATCTTTGCTAACATTATCGTAGGTTGGGCGTAATCGCCACGAAACACGTGATTCTCGCCGATAGGAAGGATGCAGGCACGGTCGATGATGAGTGTAAAGCTCTTGCTGAGATGCATTCTATAGGCGTGGATTATAGTAAATCGGGTATTCCTATCGATATCAACAAGCTTAAAGGTATAACAACAACAAAATACCGCCCAGAATTGTAAGTGTTTGAAAATATTCCCGTTTTTACTTCCTCTTCTGGAGGAGATGATACAATAACTTTATGAGAAGATATTTGGGTCATTAACTCAGCTCTGTGTAGCTTGGCACCTGCCCCTCCTGCAAACATAGTCGACAAGACAGAAATCGTGTTTGAAAAAACGAAAGCCCTAGTCCCCGAAGACGAAGATGACGATAACGGTCCCGGGCATGTATATTACAAATCCGACAAAATTCTTGGCGCACTATACAGAGCGATTGACGAGAAGCGAATCTGGAAAAACGACATCCACCAATCTGTTAGCCGCCTTGGCCCTTCAGTATGGGACCAGCTGCTTCAATACATCAACGGTAGATACGACGAGCTAGGATATACCCACTGGGAGACAGCCTTAGATGAAGCCCGTCGTATCCGTGATGCGTAAGCACCCCTTGCAGTGAATGGCATACTGCTTACGATCTTAAAAACTAATATTAATTCATAGATACGACGATGCGGTTTGGACTGCAACCATGGAATACTCTGATAACTTTACCAAAGGCCTTTCGGAGCTTGAGGTCTTTACGGGGTATATATTTAATAAGACAGGCGCTCAGACTCGCCGGCAGCGAGATAAATCGGTCCGCCTCAAAGACGATTATGATGCAATCGCACGGTGGGTCGAAAGCATGATCCGCAAGAAAAAGGTGGACCCGCGGGACAGCGACGACGACGATGATTGTAACGACAGTGATGCAGATTCGACAGACTACTACACTGATAGCCGGCACCACGACAGCACGCCGCTTGAACTGAGCATCGCCTGCCTCCACGTCGGTATCGACAAGTCGAAGACCTTTGGCAGAAACAAGGATGACTTCCAGACGTTCAAGATAATCAGTGCACAATGTGCGTTGACCGAGCTCGAACTTGCTATCCAGCGACAGGAATTTGCCACGGGAGCAGCGATTGTTGCGGCGGGAACTAGAAGAGCTCCGCGAGCAGGAGTAGCTCTCTGATGTTTAAGTGCTTGTTAGGATGCTTGTTAGGCAGGGTTGAGGTTGTGTATGTATGATTTTTGGGGGGTAGGATCAACACGGCCCGTCACGGGGCGCAAGGGGTTAGGCATAGAGTTGGTTATTGATTTCGTCCATATGTTTTGGAAAGGCTAGGTGAGAGCCAGACAAGTAGTTTGGATAGTTAGGTACGGCAATGCGTGTGTCAAGGGGATATGCATACGATGATGATAATGAAACGAACTACGAATTAAGGTAGCATCGATATGTTTTAAATGATTATTCGATTTATTTAATCTATTTGATAGATATGGTTCAAGCGGAAGATATAAGAACAGGCAGTGTCACAACAGCGAAAAGGGGTGACGGAACATTCATTATAGAATCAAGGGACGCAAAGTGTCCCAGCTCAATTAAGCCTGACCCGACTTGAACCGACTTGAACCGACTCGAAGGGCTCGTCAGTCTCTCTGTCCTACCCTATCTATCTCGGCTACCTCATGGTGCGCGTCTCTGCAGAAGAGAGAGAGGGGGGGGGAAGAGTGAGAAGTAACGTATATACAGCTTTAAATATGGTAGTAATAAGTAGCAACTCGCATGCTTACTTAGGTAACTAGCAAGCCACCCAGGCCTATGCAACCCCAACCTCCTTCCCGCCCATTTCCCATTTATTGAGCCATGCCTTGCCGCCTCCGTCCTTATTTAGTATTTCCTTTCTTTCTTGTGCACCCGCTCTTATTTATTTATTCATTCGTTTCTCCTTGTCTCCTTGTCTTTCCCCTTGTCTCTATCCTTATCCC